GCATGTATTAAAACCGGCGCTGTCATGAAATAAGAGGAGGCGCCATGAAATCTGGGGAACTATCATGGCCCACGCCATGATATCCACCCCCCTACTCCAGATTTCGTAATAAAGGGAGGGGGGTCTCATTTCGGGGGCGTCTCTTCCAGGCGATCTTGGAGGGCCTGGGGGGTCTGGGGACGATGTTTGGGAGGGCTCTCCCACGGGGGAGGCCTGACATGGCTTGTCTTGGAGGGTCCAGACCCCCTCCCTTTTATTACGAAATCTGGAGTAGTCATCACCCCCCTCGCTCGCCCTCGCGGACCCTCCCAGGAGCCACAAGGGCCTGTTGCATTTGAGGGGTTTTGGCGGATCTGCTCTCCCTTGTGTGGGCCTCCCGGGAGCCCGCCGAGCCCTGTGAGCCCTCTGAGCCCTGAGGAGCCCCCTCCTTGCCGCCCCCGCTCTTGGCTCTCGGAGAGCCCTCCAGGAAGGCCCCCAGCGACCGACGAGCAGCGCTCCGGCGCTGGAGGCCCGAGGGCCCGAGCCCGAGCCGCGGCGCGCCCTTGCGCGGCCCCCCTCCGGACCCCTTCGGGGGCCCTGGAGAGGGGCGCCCCCAGTGGCCTCCCCCGGCCCTGCACGTGAAAAAGGCCCCCGTGCCCTGGGGGGCCGAAGCCCCCTCCGTCCCGCCCCCCGTCCCCCACGGAGGAAGCCCCCTGTCACGCTCCCCGCCCACCCCTCCCCCATCCCTGCACGTGAAAAGGCGCCCGTGCCACGGGGGGCCGAGGCACCCTCCGTCTCGCCCCCCGTCCCCCACGGAGGAAGCCCTTGCCACGCTCCCCATCGGGCATCTACAATCAACCCGTATCAGAAGGACGCACGGTAAGGATGCAAGCGCCTTGGAGGGCCACGTTAACGTTTTTCGAACGGGGTTGGCCAGCGAATGTCGCTCAGGACGGGCCGGAGGGGCAAGGATGCAAGGGCACCCTTGGGAAAGATGCCCATCCTTGCCACACGGGTTGACTGCACTAAGTAACCTGGGTCTATGCACCTGGGTCGGTCAGGCTTTCCAGGACCCTGCAAAATCCTGCAGGATCCTGCGCCCGAACCCAGGTCAATGCGGCCCTGGCTCTGCAAGATCCTGCAAGATCCAGTGCTCTGGCTGACCCCCGTCTGCACTGACCCCCGTCTCTTGAGCCCCGAGCTCAACTTCACAGGGCGGCCCAGCGCAGGAGCACTCTTCAGCATCGCCGCTGGGACACATGATGTACGGGCACTGCCATATATCCGTGTCCTGGCGGTCTGGATTCCGAGGCGTGGTCCCGTGGATACACGATCGTATAGATAACGTTGCGCGCGGTGCGTCCACGCGACGCCGCTCCGTACGAGCGGGGTCCCGGCCGAGAAGCCCAGAACCCGTCGCCCGAGGCATCCTCGGAGCACGACCCAGGTCCCGAAACCGTGCGGTCAGTCCGAGCCCCTACGGACTCAGTGCGCGGCGTGGTGGTCAGCACACCGTTGGCGGGCCCCCGAGGCGGCGGCGGGGGTGGGGGGCACCAGAGCGCACCCCACGGCGAAAGGGCGCCCCTCAGAGTCGCCAAGACGGGGAGGGGGGGGGCGGGGGGGGGGAGGGGGCGAGGGGGGGGGGGGGAGGCTCGACGAGCGGCCAGGTCCTGCAGGCTGGTCCCCCCAGAAGGACAGGAGATCCCACCGCCGCCCCCCCACCCAGGGTCGAAGAGATTCCAAGACTCGTGCCTCGGGCACTGTAGAGGAAGAAAAACGCCATGTAAACTTTTGGCGCTCCACGCGGATGTCTTGGGTCTGCGCTGGGCGCCCCTCCCTGGCGCGCCCCGCGCGCCAGGGGCGGCGCCAGAGGCGCCGCCAGGGGGGCCCAGCGTGGACCCGAGAAATCCGCGCAGAGCGCCAGAAGTGTATGTGTATCGCGCTTTTGCTTCCGCTCCAGACTCGGGCCTCGGGGACCCGACTCTGCCTGACGACGGGGCCCCGAGGGGAAGAAGACGAGGACCATCGCCGACCTGAGCGCGGAAAAACGCCGGAGTCGATCCTGGCCACCGCCCCTACTTGGCGGCGAGCGAAGGGGGGAAGTGAGAAGGAGAAGGCCTTCTCAGAAGGCGGCGGGACTTCTCAGAAGCCCTCGCGCCTTCTGAGAAGATTTTCCTGTCTTCGGGGAAAGCTTCGAAAACTTCTCAGAAGGCCGGGGGACTTCCGAGACTTCTGAGAAGGCCCGCCCCTTCTCACTTCCCCCCCTCGCTCGCCGCCGACCTACTCGTGGGCAGATCCTCGCGAAGATCTGCGGCGCACGGCATGTGGCATGGCCAAGACTGGCGCCGACAAGATCCCGCGACAACCCGATCGCAGTCCCCGTGCCCCCCCCCCTCTCCTCAGCCTTGGCCTCCTCCCCTCCTCCACCTCCTCCCGCTCTTCCTCGTCCTCCTCTTCCCCCTCCTCCTCCTCTTCCTCCTCCTCCTCCTCCTCCTCCTCCTCCTCCTCCTCATCTTCCCCCTCCTCCTCCTCCTCCTCCTATGAGTTTTGACTGCAGGTGGTTTACAGTGGGAACTCGACAAGAAACCCAGCCCCGAGACCCCAGGACGTCCACTGACTTTTGGTGTGGGACCGTCACGCTTTCCATAGCAAACCATCGAAAGCCAAGAAGCCCAGGGCACCCTGGAGGCAAGCATGGTGCTTCGTGGCGTGGGTTTCCACTGTAGATGTTTCGACGAGTTGTCTCGTCTTCTTTCTTCCATGACCCCTTCTCCCCCTGCTCGGGAAGGGGTTGGCCGCTACCCCTGCCCCCTCCCCTGGCCTGGGAGGGGGGAGGGGGGCGTGAGGCGCTATACAGAGCGTCCAAGATGCCCTCCCAGGTGGCTCCGAAGAGGGCATCAGAGAGCTTAAGATTGCCTCCAAGAGGGCCCAAGATAGCCCGGAGACGGCTCCAGGTGCCTTTCGAGCCCAACTAGGCACCCTCCAAGAGGCCAAGATCCTCTTTACAAAAAACAGGGAAACCAGCATGCGTTTGCCTTCTCGCGTTTTCGCTTCCAATGGGCTTTTGAGGCCTCAGATGGCCCCACGGCGGCCCACGAGAGCCCCAGAAGGGGCCAAAGAGGTCCCCAAGAGGGCCCCGAGAGCGCGCAAGAGCGTTCCAAGAGCGGCCCAGGAGGGCCCCAAGACGCCATGGTTGAGTTTCCTGAGGGAGGGCTGAATTGAGCACCGCGCCTCTTTTTGAGCCATGGGACCCAAGAGGCCTCCCAGACCCCTGCAATGAGGCCCAGGAGGGCCCCAAGACCCCCAAAACAAGCCCCACGAGGGCCCCAAGAGTGCCCCAAGAGGCCCCACGGGGACCCCCAGAGAGCCCCTAAGGTGGCTTCAATGGTCCTTCAAGAAACTCTCACAGCAACATATCTCAAAAGCCCGACTGACCATCCTCCTTGTCATCGTCGGTTCCTCCTCCTCTTCCTCCTCCTCCTCCGCCTCCTCCTCCTCGTATTCCTCATGCCATACTCCTCCTCCTCCTCCTCCTCCTCCTCCTCCTCCTCCTCCTCCTCCTCCTCCTCCTCCTCCTCCTCCTCCCTCCTCCTCCTCCTCCTCCTCCTCCTCCTCCTCCTCCTCCTCCTCCTCCTCCTCCTCCTCTCCTCCTCCTCCTCCTCCTCCTCCTCCTCCTCCTCCTCCTCCTCCTCCTCCCCTCCATCGCCCTCCTCCCCCTCCTCCCCCTCCTCGTCTTCCTTTTCTTCCTCCTCCTCCTCCTCCTCCTCCTCCTCCTCCTCCTCCTCCATCGCCCTCCTCCCCCTCCTTCTCCTTCCTCCTCCTCCTCCTCCTCCTCATCCTCTCATTTTTACCCCTCCTCCTCCTCCTCATCCTCCTCCTTCTCCTCCTCCTCCTCCTCCTCCTCCTCCTCCTCCTCCTCCTCCACCTCCACCTCCTCCTCTCCTCCTCCTCCTCCTCCTCCTCCTCCTCCTCCTCCTCCTCCTGCTGCTGCTGCTGCTGCTGCTGCTGCTGCTGCTGCTTCTCCGCTTCCTCATCCTACCCCCAAGAGGGTCCCAAGAGATCGTGCATGGCTCAAGATGCCTCCGACAGACATCAAAGAGGCATCAAGACAAGTTGGCACACTCTACGCGTGCCTCGAACGTTGCGCACATGGCTCAGGCTGGAGCATGCGGCAAAAATGGCCAACGTGGAGCACGTGGCGCATCTGGCGCGCCAGGCGTGCCTGGCACGATCGGGCCCCACCGGTGCCTGGCGCGCCTGGTGCGCGTGGCGCGCCTGGCACGCGTGGCGCACGTCGCCCCAGCGTCGCGCACCTGGGGTCTGTATTGGCTGCCAGTAGCTGTCCATTCGAACACGGCCGCTGAATATGCTGAGACCCAGGTGCTACTCATGCGTTGGGAGGGCGGTGGGAGTGGGCCAAACAGTTTGCGTCTGGGGAAGAAGTGTCTTGATCACTGTGCCCTGTTTATAAGCAATCCCTCCCCCAGGTCCGACAGCCAACCCGAACCAATGACAACACCCACCACCATCCATGTCGAAAAGCAATAAAGGATACACTTTGGGGCAATATGTTGGGTCATGCTCGTTGGCCCCCCGAGCACGTTGTATTGTTTTTTGGCATGGATGGCGAGTGGGGCTCATAGATTGCCTGCTGCGCACAGGGCCACCCTTCATGTCCAAAACAATACAGAGTGCACTTCGCGGCCGAGTCTGGATCGTGCGCGGCGCCTCGCAGGATCTCAGGGTAGAGCGGCAGGCCTCTCTGGGGCGGCGGCGCCGCGGCGGCGACCCGGTCGTCCGAGCCCTCCCTGCCGCATGTCGTCATCGTCGTCGCCGTCGCCGCCGTCGCCGCCGCCGCCGTCAACGTCGTCGACGTCGTCGGCGTCGTCGGCCGCGTCGGCGTCGCGTCGACGTCGTCGACGTCTGCGGCGTCGGCGTCGGCGTCGTCGGCGTCGCGTCGACGTCGTCGGCGGCGTCGCCGTCGTCGTCCGCGTCGCCGCCGTCGCCGTCCCGGCGGCGGCCTGGTCGTCAGAGCCCTCCGGCGCTGGCGCCTCCAGGCCCGCGGGCGGCGGCGGCGGCGCCTCCGCGGGGGGCGCGCTGCTCGCCTCGTCGCGGGGGGGGGGCGCGCCGACGGCTCGCCGCCGACGGCTCGCCGCCGACGGCTCTCCGCCGACGACGACGCCGACGACGACGCCGACGACGACGACGACGCCGACGACGACGATGACGACGCCGCCGACGACGACGACGACGACGCCGACGACGACGACGCAGACGTACGTCGCCAGCGACGGCGAGGACGCAGGCGAAGACAACGACGCCGACGACGACGACGATGACGTCGACGCCGATGCACACATGAGCGACGACGATCAACAACGGGTCTTACGCGAGATGGCATAGCGACCGTACGCGGCGGTTTACGCAGGCCGCCACCGCGTCACGCCAAGCTGGAAGCGAGGGCGCCTACGCACGGCTTTACGCGGGACGCTGACACGCGAATGTCAGCGCAGACGGCCCCGTTTTGTTGCGTCGTTCGTGTGAGGGGATATCCGTGTCGAGTGGCTCCTCGTCGATAATCTTCCACCCTCCCTCCCACCCTCCATGCTCCATCCTCCCTCTGGGAGGGGAACGTGTCGAGTAGCTCCTCGTCGATCATCCTGCACAAATCCTTTACCAAAACCTATGCGAAAGGCATGCAACACGTGTGTTCAACATATACACGCCCTAAGTACATACATACATATGTGTATACACACAAAATAAAATAACAAACAAAACATAGAATACAAAAACAACAAAAACTATGCAATATGCATGCACCACAGATGCAGAACATACGCACGGAGCTTATGACGAAACATAAACACAGCGCCTGAGGGCGCGCCTGGGAGCGCCTGGGGGGCGCCTGGGACCCTGGGGGCGCCTGGAAACGCCTGGGGGTGCGCTTGGGGGCGCCTGGGGGCGCCTGGGAGCGCGTGGGGGGGGGCGCTTGGGCGCGCGCCTGTAGGCGCGCCTGAGGGCGCCTGGGAGCGCCTGAGAGCGCGCCGAAGCGCCTGCGAGCGCCTGGGACTGCGCTTGGGAGGGCCTGGGAGCGCCTGGGGTAGCGCGGGCCTGGGAGCGCCTGGGGTAGCGCCTGGGAGCGCGCCAGGGAACTCGCCGGGGAGCGCCAAAGAGCGCCTGGGTTCCGCCTAGAAGTGCGTGGGGACGCCTGGAAGCGCCTGTGAAAGCCAGGGAAGGTATCCTCAGGATTCCTATGGTTTCCTGCGGGTTCCTGGGGCCCCCCATGTGTCCTCTGGATTCCTTTGGATTCCTTTGCATGCCCCAGGACCCCTCAGGATCCCCACGCGCTCCTTAGGATTCCTCCGGGGCCCGCAGGGATCCTCAGGAACCCATACCATTTCAATCGGATTCCCGAGGATCTTCTGCGCAAGCACGGTGCGGTCGCCCTAGTAGTAGTAGTAGTAGTAGTAGTAGTAGTAGTAGTAGTAGTAGTAGTAGTAGTAGTAGTAGTAGTAGTAGTGATAGTAGTAGTAGTAGTAGTAGTAGTATAGTAGTAGTAGTAGTAGTAGTTAGTATGTATTAGTAGTAGTAGTAGTATAGTAGTATTAGTAGTAGTTAGTAGTAGTAGTAAGTAGTAGTAGTATATAGTAGTAGTAGTAGTATAGTAGTAGTAGTAAGCAGTAGTAGTAGTAGTAGTAGTAGTAGTAGTAGTAGTAGTAGTAGTAGTAGTAGTAGTAGTAGTAGTAGTCGTAGTAGTAGTAGTAGTAGTATAGTAGTAGTAGTAGTGTAGTACAAGTAGTACTAGTAGTACTACTTGTACTAGTAGTACTAGTAGCAGTAGAACTGGTAGTAGCACAAGTAGTAGTTGCAGTAGTAGTAGTAGTCGTAGTAAACGTAGTAGTCGTAGTAGTAGTAGTCGTAGTAGTAGCGGTAATAATAATAGCCGTAGTAGTCGTAGTCGTAAAAGCAGTAGTAGTAGTAGTAGTAGTAGAAGTAGTAGTAGCCGTAGTAGTAGTAGTAGTAGTAGTAGTAGTAGCAGTAGTAGTAGTAGTAGTAGTAGTAGTAGTAGTAGTAGTAGTGGTAGTAGTAGTAGTAGTCGTCGTACGACTAGTAGTGCTAGTAGTAATAGTAGTAGTAGTAAGTAGTGAGTAGTAGTATCAGTAGTAGCAGTAGTAGTAGTAGTAGCAGTAGTAGTCGCAAAAGTAGTGGTAGCCGTAGTGGTAGTAGTAAGAGCGGTAGTAGTAGAAGTAGTAGTACGACTATAGGTGCTAGTAGTAGTAGTAGTAGTAGAAGTAAGAAGTAAGTAGTCGTAGTACAACTACGTAGTAGTAGTAGTAGTACTTTAGTAGTAGCAGTAGTAGCAGTAGTAGTAGTAGTAGCAGTGGTGGTAGTAGTAGTAGTAATAGTAGTACTAGTAGCAGTAGTAGTAGTAGTAGTACTAATAGTAGTAGTGATAGTTAAGAGTAGTCGTAGTTGTAGTAGCCGTAGTCGTACGTATAGTCGTAGTAGTAGTAGTAGCACTAGTAGTAGAAAAAATTTTAGGAGCGGTCGTACTTCTACTACTACTAGTCTTAATGCAGTAATGGAGGTAGCACGAGTAGAAGTAGAAGTCGAAGTAGCACTAGTAGTAGCAAGTAGTAGTAGCAGTCGCAGCGGTGGTAGTAGTACCAGTAGTAGTAGTAGTAGTAGTAGTAGCGGTAGAAGTAGTAGCAGGAGTAGTAGTAATAGCCGTCGCCGTAGTAGAAGTAGTAGTACTAGTAGTAGTAGTAGTAGTAGTAGTAGTAGTAGTAGTAGTAGTGGTGGCACGAGTCGCAGCTGTAGTAATAATATTGAACAGCAGTTGGGACCAGAAGTAGCAGTAATAGCTATAGGAGAAGTGGTACTCGTCGTCGTAGTCGCAATCATAGTAATAGAAGTAGTAGTCGTAGCAGTAGTCGTCGTCGTAGTAATGGTAGTCGACGAAGAACACAGATTGGTAGTATTGGCGGCAGTTTTAGGGGAAGCGGAAGTGGTAGTGGTAGTGATAAGGTAATGGTGGTGGTAGTAGTAGTAGTAGTAGTAGTCGTAGTAGTAGCAGTAGTAGTAGTCGTAAGAGTGGTAGTAGTAGTAGTAGTAGTAGTAGTAGTAGTAGTAGTAGTAGTAGTAGTAGTAGTAAGAGTAGTAGTAGTCGTCGTAGTAGTAGTAGTAGCAGTAGTAGTAGTAGTAGTAGTAGTAGCAGTAGTAGTATAGTAGTAGTAGTAGTAGTAGTAGTAGTAGTAGTAGTAGTAGTCGTAGTAGTAGTAGTAGTAGTAGTAGTAGTAGTAGTAGTAGTAGTAGTAATAGTCGCAATACTAATCGTCGTAGTAACTGTGGTAGTAGTAGTAGTCGTCGGTTTGCTAGTACAGTAGAAGACGAAGATGAAGAACTGGTAGTAGTGGTAGTGGTAGTGGTAGTGATGGTAGTAGTAGTTCGTGGTAGACATGGCAGTGCCAGGGGCAGCGGGAGCGGCATAGGTAGGGGTAGTGGTAGCCGTAGTAGTAGTAAGACGTAGTAACACGCACTAGTACTTATAGTCGTGGAAGTAATAGCAGTAGTCGTAGTCGTAGTAGTAATAAGCACGATTGTCGTCGTACGCCTACTCCTAAAAAGCATAGCCATCACCATCGCGGTAGTAGTAGTAGTAGTAGTAGTAGTAGTAGTAAGAATCGAAGTAATAGGAAATAGTAGTAGTAAAAATAGTGAGAGTAGTGATAGTAGCGGTAGTACAGCTGGTAATAGCAGTAGTAGTAGTCGTAGTCGTAGTCGTAGTCGTAGTCGTAGTCGTAGTAGTAGTAGTAGTAGTAGTAGTAGTAGTAGTAGTAGTAGTAGTAGTAGTAGTAGCCGTAATCATAGTAGTGGTAGTAGTAGCCGTAGTAACCGTAGTAGGTGCCGTTGTAGTAGTAGTAGTAGTAGTAGTAGTAGCAGTAGTAGTAGTAGTAGTAGCAGTAGTAGTAGTAGTAGTCGTAGTGGTTGTGGTAGTCGTAGTAGTAGCAGTAGTAGTAGTAGTAGTAGTAGAAGTAGTAGTAGTAATAATAACAATAGTTTTAGTGATAGTCAGTCATTCCAGAAAGGGTAGCAGTAGTAGCAAAAACACCAGTCAGATTGAACGTATCAGGTCGAGCAGTTACAGCAGCACCAACGGTCCTAGCAGGAGAAGCAGCGAGAAGAATTGCAATAGAAGTGGCAGGAGGACTTTACCGAGTAGTAAGAATGGCACTTCGGCGGGAAGCAATAGCGCGAGCACAACCGACCTGCAATGGTAGTAGTAGCGTTAAGACAAGAGGATTAGAACCAAGGCCCTGGCTGCAGCATATGAGTGGGGAGAAACCGAATACATATAACCATCGTACACATTACAAACGTTGTGGAAATACGCCCTGTAATCGTGCAGCGAATGCAAAGCATGTACTCGTTGAAGGTTACGTAGTCCGCGTGACACTATTATATTAAGAAATGACACTATTCTGCATTAGGTGTTTTGCAAAAAAAATGTTATAAAAAATCGCCATCGCACTCAGTCAAGCACTCTCCTGCGCCAAAGATAATGCATCAATGCATTTGCGTTTGCAACGCAGGGCACCAGTGATACCTGCGGTGTGCTTGTGCGTGAACTGGCCACACTTTGCGCGCAGTGAACAATGACCCCGTTAAGCCTGCGCGTATTGCACGGGAGTTCTTAAATCGCAACCTGTCCATGCTTAGGAAAGAAAACACAAACCAAAAAAAGCACTATACACATAAACGTTTGGCGCTCCGCGCTGATTTCTTGGATCTGCGCTGGACCCCCATCCCTGGCGCGCGGAGCGCGACAGGGGCGGCGCCGGAGCCGCCGCCCGGAGGGCCCAGCGCGGATTCAAGAAATCCACACCGAGCGCTAAAAGTTTATGTTTATGGCGTTGTTTCTTCTTCGAAGGTTGGTGGCAGCGCGAATATCTGAACCACGCTGTCCCAACGGGCGGCCAGGCTGATGGACAAAGCCACAGACATGGACGCCTTGGGGGAAACAACTCTCACACACACACACACACACACGAGGCCAACACACACACACACACACAAAACAAAACAAAAAAGAAAGAAAACGAAGGAGACCCAGGCCGCTCATCCCGTCATGACCCCTCGTCCCAAGGCGCCCACGGCGGCGCCTCCTCCCACGCACACGCAGCTGGCTCCCTGCGCTGCCGGGCTCCCCGGCGCGAGCCGTTGCGCCCAGCCGTCTTCCGCGGCCGCTGGAGCTGCCGGAGCCAAGTCGACTTTGCCTGCCTTCCTACCCCATGCCATGTTCGGGCGTTAGCAGAGCTGGGTTTAGTGGGACCTGGTTTAATGATGTGTACTGGAGGACGCCCCCCCCTTTTGCTCTCGTCAGTTTCGCTTCCCGCGATCGAGCCCAGGGTGATCGACTGCACTTGGCGCCGAATCGGTGCGCTCTGGCCGTCCCTGCAAAAAAGAGCTCGTGGGAGACCAGGGAGGGAGGTCCAGCGCCGATACACAAAATCCGCGCGGAGCCCCGTGGAAACTATGCTGACGTAGCTTTTGTTGTTCGACTGTTGTCGGACCCTCGCTGCCAGCCTTCGCAGGAGGATGTCTCTAGAGGCCTCCCAGATGGGATCCGATCGCATCTACTCCGACCCCACTGAGGAGGCCTAGGGCCTAGAATGTCTCTCCTCACCCCCTACCCCTTCCGAAAGACCGGGCCAAACAAACAAGCGTCCACATGCCCTGGACATGTGGTCAGACGCCTCGCCGAAGCGGAGCTTCCCCGTGGCGAAGCACGCCACAGCGGAGCTTCCCCTGACGCAGCTCGGCCTGGCTGGTACATTGGCTACACGTAAGGAGAGACATCCTGGAGGCCTCAGGCAACAACTTTTTTGGGGGGAGTGATTTTTTGATTATACGGGTGCAACAGTCATGTGGGCACCGAACAACTGCACCTCCATTGAAACAGCCAACACAATGGCAAGGCGAAGCACTTAAATTTAAGTACAAATTTAAGTGCGCAGGCGGATGAACTCCGCGCGTGAGACGAGTCGGAGAGGGCTGGCATGGACGGACCAGACAGTGATCAGGCCGTCGCCGTCAAGACCTTTCTGCTCGGTGGCGCCTTGGATCAAAGCTGCGGTCGGGGCTACGGCAGGGCTGCCGTGGTGCGAAGTGGGCGCTGGGCCGGCAAGGAAGAGGCCGGAAGGGAAGGGGGGGGGGGGCGGGAAAGGCGGGAGGGAGAAGGGACCTGGCGGAAACGAGCCCTGAAGGAGGAGGAGGAGGAGGAGGAGGAGGAGGAGGAGGAGGAGGGAGGAGGGAGGGAGGGAGGGAGGGAGGGAGGGAGGGAGGAGGGGGGGCCATCCAAGTCTGCAGTGTCATGACGGCGCGTGCGTCGACGCCGAGACACCACGGCAGACCTGGCTGGGCTTCGGGCACCTGCGGCCGCTGCGCCGTGTTGCCACCGCGCCACCGCACTGCTGGACGCCTCGCACGCGGGTGCAGGTTCAGATCGGCGTGCGTGCGCCTCTGTACCCACCTCCTGCCAGGTCCTCCTCAGCCTCCTCCGCATCCTCCTTCTCCTCGTGCTTCGCCGCCTTCCCCTGCCCAAGGGGGGCCCGGGCGGGCCACGCGGGCCTCAAGAGAGAGCTTTTTGAAGTGCGCCTGCACCTCCTCGTCCGTCGGTGGTCCCTTCGCCGCCGCCTGGCCAAGGCGCCAGAAATGAATAAAGCCGGCCGGTATCATACGGATGCGCGATAAGGATGCAAGGGCCCTGGACGCCCATGTCGAGGCTTCTCGAGCGGAGCGCGGCCGACAAGAGTGGCCAAGGATAAACTGAGGAGGCAAGGATGCAAGAGTATCCTTGGGCGGGTTGTCCATCCTTACCATACGGGTTGACTGTACTCTCGACCCTGGGTTTGGAGGGACTCCGGTCCGGCTCGTTTCCAGGCTGCGAACGGGCGGCTCTCGCGGGGCGGCCGCGAGGCAGCCGAGTGGATCCCGAGAGGTCCCCGATGGGCTCCCGAACTGAATTCGGGCTCACGGCTTTCCCCAGCAGGACTGCCGAACAGAACTCCTGCGGCGCCTAGAAGTATACTCCAAGGTCTCGCACCAGCATGTAACAGCCACCGAGCTTGCGCGATTAGGGCGCATTGACAAAATTGTTGCTGGGCTTCTGTAGTCTTGAAAAACCAACCGCCCCTCCACGACCCACCTCAAAAAGTCGACACCCGTGGATTTGCTCCCTGGCGCGCTTTTCGATTTGACGGCGGCTCCAAGACAGTCAGAGTCTGCTCTCTAAAGTGTGCGCAGGACGCCCAAAGAACACCCAAAGACGGCCAAGCAAGCTCACTAAGGCTTCAAGATCTCCTCTGGATGTCCCAAGAGATCCGAAAGAGCCTGCAAGACTCCACAGGAGGCATCAAGCGAGGCCCTACGAGAGAGAGAGAGAGATTGCAACGAACATCTTACGATCAACCATGATGTTTGCTTCCGAACGCTTCGGCTCTATACCGCCTCGGGAGAGCTTCAAAGAGCCCCGGCAAGCTCCCCTTACGGCCCAAGACTGCCCCAAGAGAGCCCCCACACAGCACCGAGCCTGCCCGCGAATCTCCCCAAGACCGCCCGAGAAGGCTTCAAGGCGGCCCTAAGACACATCGAGATACCCGTAGATTGTCCAATCGAGCCTCTTCGGGAGAGCGCGGTGAAATCATCGCACCCAAGACGGCCTAATACGGCCCTGAGGCACCCGACTGACCTAACTGGGCCCCAAAAATAAGAGCCTTCAAGATTGGGCTTCGAGCAGAAGCCCAAAGGAAGCCCCCAAGAAGCCTAGGATTAGTTCGGGCCTGTCCCCCAACAGGGGGACGTTGGGCGAAAAAAAAACAAGACTCAAAACAAATACTCCCAAAAAGCCAAACAGTAAGCCAAAAAATCGCCCCCAGACTATGTTTTGACTACGTTTGAATATTCCCCCTGTAGGGGGACAGGCCCGACGGAAGCCAAGGAAGAGGAGCACGAGGCTGCGGACACGGAGCGGGTGCTCGAGATGTGCGACCAGTTTGGACCATCAGCGGCAGCAGCATCATCGGCACCATCGTCGTCGGCACCATCACCGTCATCGTCATCAGAACAATCCCTCCTCCCCAACCTCCTCCCTCCTGCTCCTCCTTGCCCTCTACCCTCCTCGCCGCCCCGAAACAGCCGAAGCCCCCACCTGAGGCCTCCTCCTCCTCCTCCCCAACTCCTTTTCCTCATATACACGCCTCCTCCCAATCGCGCGCCAAAGCCAGTCGGAAGGGCGGGTCGGGCGTTTCGTCGGAGACTGCCTTACCATTTGAAGATCCTGAAGTTTTAGCAATAGGCAACATTGCATGTGCTTCTGGATTGAGGGCGGTTGGTTTTCAAAATGAGGATCTCGCCCTGGTGCCGCGCACATTCGTCTTAAAACACTGCGGGAGGTTCACGGATGGAAGGCGCTTCCGTCTCAAACTTTGGCTCTCGCCTGAATGCCGCGTACACTGGTCGTAAACATTCGCAAGCCTTTCACGGATTCCCGTGGTTACCGTACCAGAAATTATGTTTGGGAACGGTTCGGGATTGCCAGGGGCGCAACAGTTACCTCGATTCAGGGTGCTGAAGTCCGAAGAACGGCGTTCTGGCACGATTCAGCATCGTCAGTACGCATCTGTCAGGTTGATTCGTGGCGCTGAAGTCCCGAGAATGGTGTTTGAGCACACTTCAGGATCTTCAAACGGTTGTCTCCCAACGGGGCACTTCCCCCAGGGCATATGAAGAGGGAGGAGCTTGGAGGGAGGGTTCATTCCAACATCGTTGATGAGTCTTGGGTTTACACTGGACCTCCTCCTCCTCCTCCTCCTCGACCTCCCTCCCTCCTACCCCTCCTCCCTCGTCCTTGCTAACCCTCCTCGCCCTTCGTCTCCCCCTCCTCCTGCTCCTGTGCCGGATCTTCTTCCGCATCCTCCCCTTCCCTGGAGGGAGGAGCGTCGTGGCAGAGGAAAGGCGGTGGGAGGAGGGCTCGGGGGCGAGGGCAGGGGAGATCCGGAGGAGGCCAAACACCACCGGAGGCTCCAGTCGCACTAGAGGCTGGGGGGACACTGGAGGAGTTCGTGGTGCCGTCCATGGCTTACCCACCAGACCACCCCAACCCGACCCGAAGACCCGAACTTCGGGTTTGGGGAGGAGCGGGCTTCATGTGTATTTTGTGTTCCTTTGCACTTGAGGATGGTGATTTTGATGCGCCGTCGACGGCAACACCACACCGCTCACCCTCCGGGACTTCGCCTCCAGCTCCTGTCCAAGGTGTACCTTTTCCTGTGCAAGCTCTTCGGCACCGCCTGCATCCCGCGCCTTCCGGCCGCCTGAGGCCCCGCCCGCCCGCGCCCTGTCTCCTCAATTAGTGCTTTGCGCGGCCCGCCTAGCTCTTAACCGGAAGAGGCTCGCTCTCGACCCGCAGACCAAAAAAGTGTTTTGTTTTCCATGCTCCCCGACCCCCCCCCCCCACTGGAAGTGGAGGGCAAATCGGGGTGGTTTGGTGGGCGGCGTCGCCCACGGGCGTGTTCGTGGCGATCGAGAATAGCCCACCTCGTGGGCGCGTGTCGGGACATCGTCCAGTATAACCGTGGGCCCGTGGGAGGCGTGGCCCCCCCCCTGCTCCTCCTCCTCCTCCTCCTCCTCCTCCTCCTCCTCCTCCTCCTCCTACTCCTCCTCCTCCTCTGACGGGGCCCTGGAACACACAAATAAATACAAACAAATAATAGGATTCCCCATATGTTCACATATTCTGTTTTTGTCTTCCACCCCACTTCCCGTATTCTCCCATATTTCCTGGGGAATCGACGATCAATTGTGTCTGTGTTTTTGTTTTCCTCCTGATCCTCCTCCTCCTCCTCCTTCTCCGCCTCTTCCTCCTCCTCCTCCTCCTCCTCCTCTCCTCCTCCTCTCCTCCCTCCTCCTCCTCCTCCTCCCTCCTCCTCCTCCTCCTCCTCCTCCTCCTCCTCCTCCTCCTCCTCCTCCTCCTCCTCCTCCTCCTCCTCCTCCTCCTCCTCCTCCTCCTCTCCTCCTCCTCCTCCCTCCTCCTCCCTCCTCCTCCTCCTCCCTCCTCCTCTCCTCCTCCTCCTCCCTCTCCTCCTCCTCTCCTCCTCCTCCTCCTCCTCCTCCTCCTCCTCCTCCTCCTCCCTCCTCCTCCTCCTCCTCCTCCTCTTCCCTCCTCCTCCTCCTCCTCGTCCTCCTCCTCCTCGTCCTCCTCCTCCTCCTCCTGCTCCTCCTCCTCCTCCTCCTCCTCTTCCCCCTTCCACCTACCAGAAGAGGCTTCACATCCCGAACCTCCGACGCAGACCGCACCAAACACCTCGCACATGGGAGGGATAACAAATGTATATATATATATATATATATAGACATATATATACACACATGTATCTATATATGTATATATATATATATGTATAACGATACCGCTACTCTCCAGACCACTCCCGGCGTGCGTTTTGACGAGAACTCCGAGGCGGATCCAGCCTTGATGACGAGGGCCTCTTAGGAGGCCAGAAATGGCGAAAACAATACAAGGTTGGTGGTATCGGAACTTTTTCCTCCTCTGACACTTGGGATCACCTCCCTCGCGACACATAGCCCTTTCGTAGCGGAGCATCGCACCCTGAAAAGAGCGGAGAGAGAAGGTGGGAGCCAGCGCAGCGCCCCCCCCACCCCACCTTCTCGCCACCAGCCTTCGCCGGCACCTCGGGTCATGAGGGGGAACCTCCTGGCCATTCTGTCGGAAATCTGCCGTGCTCATCTTAACCGTCGACCACCTGTTTCGTCTCCTCATGTCTCCTGCCTCTCTACCTCTTCCGTCTCCTCCAACTCCTCCTCCGCATCATCATCATCATCAGCAGCAGCAGCATCAGCGTCATCATCATCATCATCATCATCATCATCATCATCATCATCATCATCATCCTCCTCCTCCTCCTCCTCCTCCTCCTCCTCCTCCTCCTCCTCCTCCTCCTCCTCAAAATCCGTCTCCACAGTCTCATTGTCCTTCTCCTCCCCCTCCTCCTCCTCCTCCTCCTCCTCCTCCTCCTCCTGCTCCTCGTCCACATCTTTCCTTCTGAAGAACTCCTCCCTGGCGAACCCCCAGTCATGTCCGTGGGGTGGGCCAGGCGTTTCGTCCAAGACTTCCTCACCTCGTGTCACCCTGAAGCTTGGCATTTGTGCAACAGCTTCACCCATGGAGGGGGGGCCTTTGCAAATGCGGCCCCCGCCTTCGCCCCGAGAACAGTCATCGCAACGGGTTGCAGCAGCTTCCCGGCTGCAGGGGGGCGTGTCCGAAGAGTGGGCCCTCGCCTCAGAGCAGCCTCGTGGGTCGAGGGGGGGCGTCTTCGAGGTGTGGCTCTCGCCTCAGCGCCGCGCACACTGTTCTGAAGCACGTGCAGCAAACTCACTGGAGGAGCGGGGCGTCTCCGAGACGTGGACCTCGTCGTAGCGCCGCGCGCGTTCGTGTCAGAAGTCCGTGGCTCTCGCCTCGGCGCCGCGCAGACTCGTCTGAAACATGTGCAGCAGCTTCACGGGTCGAGGGGGGCGTTTTCGAAATGCAGCTCTCGTCTTAGAGCCGCGCGCACTCGTGTGAAAAGTCTGCGCTAGCTTGACGGATAGGGGCGGCTCGTGTTCGTAATGTGGTTCTTGCGTGAACACCGCGCAGCTTCGTCTGAGAGCTGTGACGACAGCTTCACGGCTGAACGATGGTTCCTTTGTCGACATGTGATTATCACATTAGCGCCACGCGCATTCGTCATAAAAGTTTACATCACCTTCAAAGATCGAGCGCGCTTCCTTTTCAATATGTGGCTCTCGTCCCAGCGCCACGCGCACTCGTCTGAAACAAGTGCAACAGGTTCACAGGTGGCAGAGGTGTTTTCGAAATGTGGCTATCGTCTCATCGCCGCGAACAGCATCCTCAAAAACCTGCAACCCATTCAGGGATGGAAGGGGTGGTTCTGGAATGGAATTCTCGCATCAACGCCGCGCACATCCGCTTCGAAGTTTTGGACTGGCTTGACGGAAGGAGGGCGTCCCTCTTCAAAAAGGGTCGCACGCCTCGGCACCGGGGGCACTGGTCTCGTCAATCCAGGCCACGCTGACGGCAATGTTGGCTCACGGCTATGTTGAGAATCTGGTTTTGCGACGCCGAACTCGCGATGAACTATCTGTGGGGGGGAACACGAAAAGCGCTCTCCTACAATTGGGTTTGGCATAGAACCACCCTCACCCACAACACCGAAACCATCATAACCGTTAGCTACATCGCCGTTAGCGTGTTTACGGGTTGAGGATTCAGCAGCGATGGGTTCCAGTGTAGGGCTATCTTCGAACCGCCGCGAGAACCTATATGTTCTAACGTGCTTGTTAGCAGGTTGGAGTTCTCGCTTGGGACCTCGTCAAATTCAAAGTCATCCTCCTCCTCCTCCTGCTCCGTCTCCCCCTCCTCCTCCTCCGCCTCTCCATCCTCCTCTCCCTCCTATTCCTCCTCCTCAATTTTTCCCCTCATCCTCCTCCTCCTCCTCCTCCTCCTCCTCCTCTCCTCCTCCTCCTCTCTCCTCCTCCTCCTCCTCCTCCTCTCCTCCTCCTCCTCCTCTTTCTCTTCCTTGTCACCTTCCTCCTCCTCCGCCTCCTCCCCTCCTGCTCCTGCTCCTCCTCCTCCTCCTCCTCCTCCTCCTCGTCACCTTCCTCCTCCGCCTCCGCTCGTCTTCCCGCGGCCCGCCCTGCCCGCACCCCCTCTGCGCACCCGCGCTCTTCCAGACGCCACGCGGACGCGTCGCGGCGGCCACCCTCGCCCAGCGGCGCTGCGGGAGCCCCCTTGCGTGGCACCTCTCCCCCAGGGGGGGGGGGGGGCCTGGTGCCCGCGCGCCGCGTGCACCCAGGGGAGGCGAGGTGCACCAGACGCTGGCGCTTGGAGGAGGAGGAGGAGGAGGAGGAGGAGGAGGAGGAGGAGGAGGAAGGGGACGAGGAGGAAGGGGAGGAGGAGGAAGGGGAGGAGGAGGAGGAGGAGGAGGAGGAGGAGGAGGCGACGGCGTTTGGCTGGCTTCGTGGAGTTCCGCACATGGGATGTGCCTCGCGATCCTGGACTCGGCCCTGCAAACGTACTGCCGCGCTTTTGCGGGGCCATCCTCTTTCGTTCAACGGCGGGGGGAAGTGGATTGACTCCCAAGGGCATGCAGCATGCAGAAGACAACATCGTCGGCCGCCGCCATCGTCATCACCACCTCCGACGTCATCGACGCCACCGTCGCCATTAGTACAGACGTGCCACGTCGGCACGATATGTCTCCGCATCTGGCCCGAGGAGCAAAGCAAATGGGTTTTGGCGGCCGTCCCACGGCTCGGAATGGGGATCCACTCTCGGCCGCCCTGGGCGAGGCCCAAGTTAGACAGGCCCGATGTACTTTAGGAGCTCGACCACAAGAAACCTGCCACAATAGACCCAAAGACCCCAGGGCGTCAATTGATTGTTTGTGTGGGAACGTCACGATTGCCATGACAAGACCAGCGAAACCCAAGAAACCCAGGGCAGAATGGACGCAAGCAGGGCGCTTCTTGGCATGGGTATCCACTGTATGCATGACCCTCTGGTTAGAAAAATCACAACTGCGGAAAACACTGCGAGCGAGCATAAGCCTGGCGAAAGACCTAACCAACTGTGTACGTCCCGCAAGCGTGAGAATCGTTATCGGTGGGCGACACACGAAGTGTGTAAGGGGGGCCGAATCGTGTGCGGATACGCCATGCGGACTGTGCCACTGGGGCCTTCGGTGGAGCTCCCTGTGGAGCCACGAAGCGAGTGAAGGATGTGCCGAATCGGGTGTTGGTAAGCCGTGCGGACTGCCGCTTGGGGCTTTGATGGAGTTCACTATGGGGCCACGACGCGTGTGAAGTGTGCGCCGAATCGGGCGTGGGTGCGCCATGCGGACTGTGCCACTGTGGCCTTCGGAGCTCCCTGTGGGACCACGAAACGTGTGAGGGGTGTGCACAATCGGATGCGGGTGCGCCATGCGGACTGTGCCGCGGGGGGCATTCGGCGGAGCTCCATGGGTCTCGAAGCGTGTGAGAGGTGTGCCGACTCGTGTGCGGGTACGCCTTGGGGAATGTGCCGCTGAGACCTTTTTCGGCTGTGGGCCAGGCTCGCGCCGTACGAGCTCAGGAGCGGGTACCTCCCAGACGGGCTGTCGCAAAGGTCGCTGGCGGCAGGCGACAGCCTGACGGGTGAACGTACGGCAAAGGAGCGAGCGAGCCAAAGGGCCACACGATGGGCACAGACAGCCTCGCCCAGGTTCATACTGCCCCCCCGCAGCGAAGACGACGCCAGGCCGAGGATTAGTTCGGAAGAGAAAAAATCGAGAATCTCTGAGATCCAGCGGCTCTGGAGGATGCATCGGGCGTCGCGGCCTTCTCGGAGCGGTCCGCAAGGCTCGGAGGGCGCTCCAGAACGCTGTGGAAGGGATTCCTCCTCGTCCTGGCCCCGTGCGACCAGCGGCGCCAGCGGCAGGGACCGCCCTGGGACGGCCGACGATATGTTGACGTTGTTGCTATTGACCGTCGTTGCACACGTCGGTCGGAACAAGCAGGTAAACAGATGAAGTAGGAAGGCGGATGCAGTAGATGCTGTCCAGACCCTCCCAGAGAATGGCATCAGTCAGCAAGAGCATCTCGACTCTTGCAGTAGGGAGGCGCGTGAAGTAGACTGGACCCTGGGAGTCCAACAGCACCTGCTTGCAACGACCGGCGTGTAGTCGTCGTGGTCGTCGTGGTCGTCGCCGCCGCCGTCGCCGCCGCCGTCGACGGGCGCTGCGCCTTGGGCTGCGCCGCCTGGCCCTGGGGGCGCGCCTGCCGGCGGAAGAAGGGGCGCCGCTCTGCACGCCGAGCCCTCGAGGGTGGAAAAGACCGAGGACGAACAACAGATCGGCGGACCACCCCCCTCGCGCAGGTCCTATCGGGGGTTGCCAGAGAGC